CCCAATTCCCGGCGCCCTCCGCTTGGGGGCGGGTGTTTTTCGGGGGAAGACTGCAGAACACTGGGAAAAGAGCTCCGAGAAAGTCGGAAAATGGGTAGAAATTTAGGCAGGATAGGGAACATGTAGGTACGATGGAGCATAGGGAACGGGGGAATTTCAAGATGGATCGTGTTTTGCAAAATTTTTCCCAACTGCAGGACGTGCCCTGGGAGAGCATAATAGGTGAAACCCTTAGAGTCCCTTCTGGTCGAACAATTTCAAATAAATAATTGGATAGTTACGGGGGTAAGGGTGAATATGGACCTTTCACTCAAAAAATCGAAAATCTAGGCGAACTCAAGACGATCATGGAAAGCTGTCAGCGCTGAACCAGTACAAGGAGACTCCTACACTATCAGCGGTTTGAATCCTGGATCAGAGTATATTGTGCGAGTCACGGCTGTGACTTCCGAAAGCCAAGGAACGCCTTCGGAACAAAGCGAAATCGTCAAATTCGAGGATGTTAGAGGTTTGTTACTTGAGCTGAATTTCGCGTCAGGATTCTGGACAACGGTATCGGAAATCGGAAGCGCTGCATAATTGCAAAACCCGCTGATCAATTCTGGGTTCGTGTGATTTCCGCTTTCCGATTCTTTCTAAACCTTTCGCTCATCGCGGTTTAAACTTTGTGTACTTAATTTTTTGGGGCCTTAAAAATTGTTCCCTTCTATGTGAAGCTCAAATAAAATAAAATCATTGAAATTCCAAAATCATCAAAAACTGGGTTACAGAGGAGCCGTCATTCCTGAGTGTGCCTGGTGATATGATAGCCATCAAAGGTTCCAAACTCAAGCTTACAGCGGAATTCAGTGGTTTCCCACAGCCGGAGGTGCGCTGGATGAAGAACAGAAAGGTACGGTACTATATGATGGCATTTTTTCTCCTCCTACATGCCATACTTTCCCAGGAAATCTTTTCTGGAACGCGGCAATGGACCCACACATCCAGTGGCGTGTCTTGCTTGTCAGTTGCCGAGATACGAGAAGAAGACGAAGGAGAGTATACGGTAAGTATAGAGCTAACATTGGATA